TAATAAAATCTAAATAAATATTTTTCTTATTTTGTTCATCTTAAGTAGCGTTTCATACACAGTATAAAACTTTATTAATACGAAGTAATAATATAACTTGCGTAAAAGAAATTTAATTTTCTTAAAACCGGTTAGAAAAATGAATTTTATTTTTCAATTTGGTTGCTAGTCACTTTAACGCGACATACAACAGAGAGAAATTTTTTAACACTTAACGGACAGGTTGTTTTTTCTGGCCCGTCTTAGGAAGTCAAAATTGATTGTTAATATGCATAAAGGACAAATTACAATTTTTTAATTCGTGAAAACATTGTCATTATTTGGTTACAAAATGAGAATCTCAGAGATCCGTCAGTAGCCACACATATATATCCTTGTTATTTTTATACAGTAAAAAATGTGTAATAGATATTATTTATAAATATTATTAACTAACCCTAGAGTACTACATACTATTTATAACAACATTCAAATTCTAATTGCTATTTACAGTTCTCTAATGGTTATTAATGAATTCCTATATCTTGTATTTAGTCTTTGTTTTTCTCTTTCTTCGCCCTTGTACCAGAAGAACTAGGAAATTCATCAAATTTAGAATGTCCACCATATCCATCAAATGTAATTGGACGTACCTATAAAAATAGCGTTTATACATATGTTGTACATATACATTATAATTGGACTACAGATCTTCAAAATGCAATACAACAAACAATTGTAAAATGTACAATAACAAACGTATGATCAAAAAAATTCATTCAAATACATTTACGTTAAATAATTTATAAGAGTTTGCATAAAGATCTGAGGTTTAAATGCATTCAAATACATTTAAATACATTCATTTAATACATTCTTACACTTGTTTGTTCAGCCCTAGGTTTTATCGTAAATATTGATGAATGTGTTCTCTTTGTACCACGTTTTTTGTCGGGCACTTGTTTTAGAGTATACAAACCTCCCGATTTTATCGGAAGATATGGTGAATCATTTTCTTTTTTCTGAAAATTAAATGGCATGTACTTAAAAATGGACAATGATATAAAAGACTGTATGATATAAAATGATAAATTAATCACCCCTTTCACAGAATTAGCTGCTACATTTTTCTCTGTATGATCAGTATCTTCAACCGTAATGCATTCATTCCTTGTTGTATTTTTAACAGCATTTTCGTTACAAACATTGTCTGTTTTGCTATTCGCATTATTCTCTAAGTTGCATGTTCGTTTTAACGAGCATGTAGCCTTTTCTAATTCTCTGAGTTTATTTTGTAATAACATCTTTTCGCTTTCACAAATCATAAAATCTTCTTCAATTTTTCTACAAGTAATGGAATTATTGTATACACTTTCAAGAAACAATTTAAATTCTGCAATTTCATTTTATTGTCTGCATACTTCCTTCTTGCATGCTCTTCTTGCAGAAACTTCTTTTCTATGGTTGTTTTTGAAAGTTCCTGCTGCATACTCCTCAATTTTGCCCTTAATTCTCTTCTTTTATTCAAACTAATTGTCATTTCTCTAAATATAATACATAATCCTTAAAAGCAATTTATGAGGACAGAAAACATCAAGCAATTATAATAACCTGTTACCTTTTCATCACAGATATGTATGTAACAAGAGTGTTGGGGTCAGCTGTTCTAGAGATCATGTCATCAATATCTCCCACGGATGCTTCTAGTAACATTTGTATACTGAAACAAATAATATGTAATTATTAGCATATATGTCCATTGTAAGAACTTTTAATTAATAAAAAAGAATATATGCAAAAGTAATTATACATAAAAATATATGCAATATAAATTAATGACACTCCATATGAAAAGTTAAAGAAACAAAAAAAATATAAATAAATACTTTTTGTACGTTTCTAGTCGGACCCTCATTTGTTCATTTTCTTTTTTCATGCTGTTTGTTTCTGAAGCTTGGTCCCTAAAATAATTAACCTGTTGCTTAAGTGCAGCAATGACACTATTTTTTTCAGTATTTATTTTAACTAATTCTTTTTTCAGGCATTTAGTTTCCTTTTCTAAGGCTTCAGATTTTTCTGAATAATGCTTAGCATCTTTCTCTTTCAGAGCAAGTTCCAAACTTAGTTTATCAACTTTATTTTGTAAAGAATATTTATCTTCTGTAATACTATCATTGTTACAGAAATTGAAATATAATCTATGTATTTTAGGTGATGTGGTCTTCTCTCTACATTGTGGACAAGTTTTCGATCTGTATAGAAAATTAAAACCAATTAAAATAAATGTGATTTTATAAAATTAATGATAATCTTTTGTATATGAATATGTATACAATCAATGAAAGTAAACTGAAGTGTATGAGACGATGTGATACATTGTCAAATACGAAGGGAAGAAAAAAGCTACACGATAATTGTTATTATCAAATATACTTTTTTCTACTTTCGATCTTCTTGTGTTTTTACTTATTTTTGTAACATTTATAAATATATATGTAACTGAATTATTTTCTAACATGACTAACATAACTATCGTTTCCTTTATTACATATAGGGTGTTCAAAAAAATCATTCAATATTTATATAGGACACAGAATATAATGTACTAAGTAAAAATGCCTTAGTAAACCTAGGTTGAAAAGTCAACTGCTTCTGAGATATTATCATTTTCCATATGTTAGCATCATTATATAGGGTAAACCACGGAATGTGATCAACTTAATTTATTCTATGGTTTGATTGGAAATTTTTTTAGCTAAAATATCATGGTTAAAGATGACTTTAAGTTGGTGGTTAAAGATGCTTAAAGATGACTGCACCAACCATTTTTTAACCTATTTTTTCTGGAGTTATCAAGATTTTTTATAGGATTATATGTTTTTGTTTACATTCTGAGAAGAACTATATGTTATGATGCTTGCCAAATTCGTCTCAGCATCCCCTAAATAATAGGTACAACAAAATTATAGGTCACCCTATAAAAAACTGACAATGATGTTGACAACTCTGGAGAAAAATGGGTTAACAAAAACTTTGGTATAATCATCTTAAATCTCTCCTTAAACTATATTATTTTAGCTCAAAAAGTTTCCAAATCGAACCACTAGCAACAGAATAAATTAAGCTGATCACGTTGCGTGGCCTACCCTGTATACTGACTTTCAGGCTTCCAAGTATCGTTGCATGCGACGTTTACCTGAGTGTTCATAAACAGCGATCTGAGAATCCTCATTTCAACAGAAAAAAAAAGTAAGTTAAATGTTGAAAATATTTTTAAATACATTCGTTATTCAGTGAATAAAGATTTCTATATTCCACTATAAAGAAAATTCAAAAAATAATATAATCTCGGTTTTATAAGTGACAACAAAGAGATGTGCTTACCTTTCTAACCACTGAGTCAAGCAAGTGAAATGGAATATATGCCCACAAGGCGTATGAAATATATCGTCAGTTGGTGTCAACAAATCACTGCATATAACACAAGCAATATTCATTTTATAGAAAAATAAGTCGAAATTTTTCAATAGAAATAATGCAATTTAATGATTTTTAATTAAATTTATGATTTATAATTAAATTTTAATACATAAATAATTAAATTTAATGAGAATAAATCTCGAATCGCAGAGTTTACATACAATGCTCACAATGCGTGTAGTTGAATGTGAAAGTTAATTTCCTCAACTAGACTACAGAGGACTCTTACTCTTAACGTCTTAACTTAAAGGCGCGTTTCTATCTGAGAGTGAACCATATACAAATTGCTTCAAGTTGCCCTGAAAATCCAATAGGAAACCGTTTTGCATTTTGAAAGTACATAACTCTGTGCAATTTGCGAGTAGTGTTTATATCGTAGCGGTACAAAATATGTATTAATATGTATATTACCATTATAGTTGATTATATAGATAAAGAAATTGCGCGAGAAGAACAAATGAATCGAAGCTGCTCTGAAATGAATACAAAATTTACAAAAATGTATGTATTCGCGAGAGCAACTCGTGTGAGGAACTTTCAGATGAATACGCGCCTTTACAGCTGCACATGCTAAGGTTGGAATAGCTCTTATTTAAAATTTTGAATTTTCTTTCTCGCGCCAACTCTCGGAATACAATATAAGAATACAAATATTGAAAAGCAAATTATTGGAATTTGAAACAAACAATTTTCTGCATACTTTTACAATAAAATTAGACCTAAGCTGAGCAAAATGGAACAATTGTTTATTATGGATAATAGGATATATTTTGTCAGGTTCTATGAGTATCATTACATACAATTTTTCTATACCTTTCGTTCAGTTATGTAATCTTACATCGCCTCATATACTCTTCGTTAATAATTCACAATAATTTATGGTAAAAATAAATCGTACACAATTTCGTTCAATATATTAAAGACACCTTTAAGTATTTACATATTTTACACATTTGAAAGTAGACAACATACACTTTGCACATCATGCATTTTCATTAAAGTAATGTAAGTCATCTTAATAATTATTTCTCAACATCATCATTTTAAAAGCTTCTCTAAATTGAATAAGACGCATAGGGAAAAAAAGAAGATGCAAGAAGATGCAATGAAAAATAAATACAATACTTTAAGTTGTGTTTCCATAATAAAGTGACAAATTTTGTACTTGTGTCTTCTGACAGAAACTCCTTTTCCATGGTAGTTTTTGAAAGTTTCTGCTGCAGACTCTTCATATTTGA